TGCAGTCTGGTGTGTAATCCAGAAACATTTTATGACTCTATGACTTTTAATGCTTTGGATGTCTCTGCTGTTTCTTAGGCCAGTATTATGATGGTCACCAGACTGTCTGCGGTGGAACGCATCCCTCAGAAGTATGTGACTCGTTACGTCCAGATTTGTGGGTTCAATGACCCAGATCGCCAGCGTAAATACTTCACCAGCCGCCTCCTGCAGAGTGAAGAGGCAGCTCACAACAAAGAGGCCCAGACACTGATCGAGCTCCTTTATCACAACCTACAGAGTGAAAGCCAGTTGGCTGCTGCCTGCTCCCTACCTTCCTACTGCTGGCTCACGTGTGCTACGTTACACCTTCTCCATTTCACCAGTGCCCAGGCACCAATTCGAACACTGACTGGTATATACACTAGTTTTTTCCGGCTGAACTTCGGGGGTGAGGTGCTGGGCGCAAGAACTGGGAATAGCATATCTTCTCCGGAGTATCACAGTTCTTTAATGATGTATGTTGTCCGTACACTTGGCAAACTGGCCTTTGATGGCGTGATGAATAAACGCACCTCTTTCTCAGGCAAAGAACTGGAACAGTGGATTGGTGGCAAGACCAAGACGGACGAGGAGCTCCATCAGCTGGCCGTGTTTCAGACAGATGTGCTGGATTTCTTCCTAGCTCCGTGTGTGAAGAGCGATAATCATCTACCTGCAAAACTGTCTGAAAATGATGACAAGCAGTATGTGTTTGCTGCTCCAGTCATGCAGGAGTACCTCGCTGCGCTCTACGTAGTTTTAGGAGAAAACAAATCTGCTTTGGAAAAGCTGACCAGTCAGATGTCTGTAGCCATTGGTCAAGCAGGCGAGGATGTTGGTGCAGTGGTGAACATCCTTTCTAAGTTCATTCCACTCCGGCTCTTCGCTATATTCAACCTCCTCAAGCTTTTTCCAAAACTCTATGAGAAAATAAGCAGCCACAACAAAGGGAAAATAGCCAGGACGATGGCAGCTGAGATGTTCCGCACTGAGGACAGCAATAACGAGGATGTGCTAGATCAGGTGGAGCAAAGCCTTCTGGGAGTCCATGGCCCACAGCCTAAACAGTGGGATGACAGGCAACCTTTTGAGCTGTACCCCATCTTCATGGGAGGATTGTTACAGTACAGTAACCGGGTCCTTCTAAAGCAGCTGGACTGCAACATCAAGAGCACCACGGTTGCTCAGATAACACGCGCCCTCAGGAAGTACCTTGTCCGAGGTATTTCACACTTTGTTCTAACTCTGTCTGACATCACGATATGCGTCTATATGAGACGACTGTAAATGGTTAGTTCAGGTTTTTATCTGTTACTGTACCAAACTCACATAGGAAAGATTTTAAATTATAGTTCAATTCAGTTTATTTCTATAGCGCCAATTCACAACACGTGTCATCTCAAGGCACTTTCCAGTTCACCAGATCATCCAGTCAGATTGATTCAATGTTTTCTATGTATGCAAAACCAGTTGATTGCATTGACTCATTACTCTTTACAAATCTCTCACACTAAGCATGCTTGTAGTAACAGTGGAGAGGAAAAACTCTAGCCTGACGTAGTCCTACTCAATTCTAGTCAGAATATGATTCTGATGCTGCTCCATAGAGCTGTGATTATGGGGCGTGTTTTGAACGAACCAGGAAAAAAATGCCTCTGCACTCAATTGGATAGACCTACAACCAATAAAAGCAACGGAGTGCGTGACGTATGTTAAGCGACGCATTGTTGTTATCAACAAAAATCTAAGCGTGCAGTTGCACACCTAGAATAAGAAGATGAGCCTTGATCGTGTTTCTCTGTTCCTCTTTTAAAATTAATTTGCTGTCGATATCTTCTAGAACAGACCTAATAGCAGAATCTACTCACCTCAACTCTCCAGCGGCAGCCATTGTTGTTGTCACCCATGCGCGCTTTGGTCACGTGGTTGATTACGTTACTGTTGGTCATCTGTCCATCATCGTATAAAGCCCGCCCTGACAATTTGATTGGCCTGCCAGAAATTGTGCGAGCATACTCGCGCTACTGTTGAGCAATGCCAGACCGAACTTCCTGACCTCAAACGTTGTGGGCGGGACTAAGTTCGGAATGGCACCCAGGCTAGAAAAACTCCCTTTTAACAGGAAGAAACCTCCAGCAGAACCAGGCTCAACTAGTTGTCCAGTACATTATGGCTTTATACTTTTTGTTTAAAGACATAACAAACAGCTCCTTTATTCTACTGAAATTTCATCATCATTTTAGAATGCTAGTTACCTAAAAAGTGTAAATATATTTCACAAGCGCTATAAATAACGATATCTCCATAATAGCCAGATGGCTGTTTTTTTCTGTTGTGTTGTTCAGCCCTGCTGAGGTAAACCCTAGGAAATACTAATGAATAGCATAACAGGCTTTGTAATCGAGGTGTTATTAAATACTTAAAAGTTTTTAGCATAAATTGTTGCTCAACTCCTGATTTTTTTTTAGCTTAAATTGTTGCTCAACTCCTGATTTTTTTAGCTTAAATTGTTGCTCAGCTCCTGACCTCAAATACAAAAAAATTGGGATAGTTTAGAGACTGTGATTCAGTTCATCCTGTCCAACAGCAGTGTCTGACCTTCAGAGGTGTCAAGTAACAAAGTACAAATACTTTGTTACCTCACATAAGTAGAAATTTTGGCTTTCTATACTTTACAGGTGTAATTATTTTTTCAACACTTTTTTATTTCTTCTCCTTACATGTTTTTGCAGTTATCTTTACTTTCTACTACTTATATTTTGAAAATAGACTTGTTTTTGTTCATTTCAGCATTTCATTTATGGCCTCTTGGTATTGAAAAAAAAACAATAAAAACCATCAAAATAATTGGTTTCATCCAGAAAATTCATTTCTTTGTGGTTGGACTCTTGTTGAACTTGTTGTTCACCACATACCAAAATAGATAGTTTTTCAAGGTGATGCAAATTTATATTTGAAACTTACCATTAGTCATAAAACAAAGAAAATTAATTCTAAGGAAATTATCATCCAGAATTGTAGAAACTTGTTCCTTTAATAGGGTAGTGCAGTAAAGCTTCTGTCCTTGACATTTTTTTCCTGCATTACTTTTATACTTTACGTAGTTTTATAAATTGATACGTTTAGGATTTATACTTCTACTTGATCAATTAACATGAACACTTTTGCCACATCTTATGATCTTACATATTTACTTCTGGATCAACTGTGCAACCTTCCCATAAATACTCTAGAAGTCTTTGGGAAAGCCCAGTTGAAGTGTTGAAGCAGCAGAGGTTTCGCTGACATCCTGCTAAAACCCAAGGGAGATTAAATCAATCCCTCTCAGGGTCTTGTGAAGGTACACCTGGTAATACTTCTGCAAATTTGGTGCACTTTCCTACAGGTAGGCATTTAGATTAACGTATGTAAAGATTAATCACATGATTTAGCAAACATTTCTCACTGATTTAACTTATGGATTGTTTTTACTGCCATATTCGGTTTAAGCTTATCTTTCACTCTCAGCTTTATGTTCACTTTCCTCTGAATTTATTTTAAACAATTAAGGGCGTTGTCTGTGAAACTGAAGTAAGTAATGAAATATTTTTCTCTTTTTACCAGAGCTAAGCAAGCCCCAACCCCCGGAGGAGGTTATGGATCTGCTCGTCCTCCTGTACGAGTTCCAGAACCCCAGGCTGACTGAACAGGTCCTATCCTCAATCAGGAGCATTCGTTTAACCAACATTCGAATGACTTCACTTAAGTGCTTGATTTTAAGCTCTGTGCTATCATGCACTCCTAGAAGGTAAAGATTTCAATCATTATTTGTTATTCATCTCTAGAAAAAAATGTCTTTAATGTTTTTAATTTACTTCTTTATGCTCCAAGAAAAACAGAAATATGACTAATAGTTTTTAATTTTGGTTGATATAAAAAAAAAAGTTCATAATGCTTTGTACCAAAACTGCAAGACGACATTTGTTTTATAAGGTGTGGCCATCAAGGCCGATAAAACTCTGCTTGAAGTTGTAGCATAAAAGAGCTTATAGCCCAACCATAAGTATTTTATTAGACAGCTTAAACAAACCATCTCAGTCTGCAGTGAATTATCCATCAAAGGAGGCAGTGGTACAATGGAGCCACCGAGCCTGCAGGCCCCTTCAAGTGTGAAGGGGGTCTTCTAGGTGTTAAATCTAGAAGAGTGGACTTGATTTATATAGCGTCTTTCTCGGATAAAATACCAACTTTTTTCAGAAAATCCATGAGAGAATAAAAAAATTTTAAACTGGACTACAGAATAAAAAGCAAACCAGAGAACCAAACAGTTGGATGAATAGAAATTTATTTTTAGAAGAATAAAAGGAATCAGTCATATGAAGAGACAGAGGATTGAGAGTATTGGAGCCTCTGACCAGAGGACTGAAAGGAACTGACCAAACGTGAAGGAGAAGAGATACAAGACATATTTGGGAACCTGACTATGCAAGGCTTTGAAAGACAAAACTAGAATTCTAAAATCATTTTACAACAGTTAAGATCAGCTTTGTTAAAACAAGTCAAAAAGAGTTGCAAAAATACCAACAAGAGGAGAAAAAAAAGCAATAACCACGAGTTCAAAATCAGATATTGAGAGATTTGGCGTTAACACGGCGATGTTTCTCAGGGGATAAAAAACAACTTTTGATCGACAGTCCAGAATAGTTTCTATTCTGACTGGTCGAACCATACATCAAGACTTAATCCAAACACCTCAAATTTTAATTAAATTAAATTCAGTTTATTTATTTAGCACCAATTCACAACACATGTCATTTCAAAACACTTTACAGTTCACCAGATCATCCAATCTAATTGATTCAACGACTCATTGACTCCAAGGCAATCCCTCACACTAAGCATGCTTGTAGCGACAGTGGAGAGGAAAAACTCCCTTTGAACAGGAAGAAACTTCCAGCAGAACCAGGCTCAGTGTGAGCGGCCATCTGCTGAGGCCGACTGGGGTTCAAGGAGACAGAAGCAGAGATACAAAAGAAAACCGTAAAAGGCGGCACCGTCCAGGAAACACACAGCCAGGCAGACAAGCTCTGAGCCAGCTCCCATGCCAGAGGATGAAGAGAGCACATCCAGTTAGACTGAAATACAGGACTACACTGAAAAACAGGTGTTGATGGGAGCAGCACAGCTGATATTTTCTCTTCAGAACGATGTCACAGCCAAACTGAAAGAGATCAAATGAAGCTCCGACACAGATTATGCAGAGAGGGAGAATAGAATGATGAAAAAGGGGTCCCTATGTCCTCCAGCAGTCTAAGCCTATAGCAGCATAACTATAGAGATAGCTCAGGATAACCTGAGCCACTCTAACTATAAGCTTTATCAAAAAAGAAAGTTTTAAGCCTAGCCTTAAAAGTAGACAGGGTGTCTGCCTCACGGACTAAAACTGGTCAAATGATCTAAAAATTTGTGAACATTTCTTAAAATAAGTACATTTACCCTTAAGTTGATTAGATAAATAAAAAAACTAGTAGGAATAAGTATTATTATTCTTAGATAATAATACTCATAACTTGATATAATGCTCTTGAAATAGGAGACTGAAGTTGTTTTTCTCTTAATCTAGATGTAAATTGTTTCACTCCGTTGGCAAAGTGTCTCACTACCTGCACAATTCAAGAAAAAAAAATCACTTTTTTATAAATAAATAAAAAATGACTTACTTAGATTTCAATATTTGGAGTGCATTATAAAACCCCCAAAATATGAAGTTGTGTATTTTAGCAAATGCTAAAGAATGGGCAATAGGAGGCAGACTTCTCCCTCATCCTTGCCCTTTTCTTGCTTCTAGCACTGTTCAAATAGCACTTCTTATGGTAACCCCTGAAAGACGGCAAGTCTTTACACATGAAATACAGTCTATTCATGTCTCTACATGTTTTGAGGTCAGATTAATTGCTTTGCCGATGGTAACTACTTCAAGTAGTAGTAGTAAATTTGTGGTTTGGTCATTAGAATATGATCTGCATATTTATTATGGTGCACACTCCAAAAAGAAACACGTGTGCAGGCACTGTTCACTATAATGCACACACAATTACTTTGTGTGTGCAATGTTTCCCACATTAAGATTTGCTCTGTGGGTTAGTTAGAAATTTAGATTGGTAATCCTGCTTCGTAAGAAGAACTAGGTCATCTGAGGCTATCCTGATGGTAGCTGCAGTACGATGGCCCAGAGGTGTCAACACTAATACAAAAGCTGCAACGCAAATACAAAAGCCGCCTCACAATTACTAAAGCCACAACACAAGTCGCTGCACGCAGCTACAGCTCAAACTGTACAATGAAATTGCTTCGTTTAATAGTCCTTTTTAAGGGGATCTGCAGACTGTCCTCCCTTTCTCTCCACTTCCACAATGAAGCCCATATTCCCCACAGAGCAGATTTTTGTTTGCCTTGATGACCAAAACTAACCGAGCCACTGAAGGTTTGAAGATGAGATGTATCTGGATCCGTAAATAGATATCCAGGCTTTGATGGAGCCTTTAAAGTATGAGCAGTGTGTAATCTAAGTCCTATGAGCTCCGGTATTTCTACGTTTTTCTTTTCTCTTCACCAGTTATCACCTGGAAGAGCTGGACCTGTCCTCCTGTCTCCTGACCCACAACATGCTGCAGATGCTGGGACCTGCGTTCAGACATGCACGCAGCCTCAAGTGAGACTAGTATCAACCGACGTCTTTCTATTGCACGAAGCCCGACTCCCTAACCAAACCAGTTCTGCCAGCTTGTCTGCAGTTTAACCCTTTAGTGTGTGTTGAAGCTTTGCTCTGAGGAGCACAGAGATCCTAATGATCAGGTTTCAAATCAGGTGCTTCATATGAGCAGGGATCAGGTCAGACATGTTGGGTGTGAATTAATGATGGTGTTAAAATATAAAGTCCACACAATATCAAAAATGTCTTAAAAGGAGAACTCCGATCAGCAAGTAATAATCAGTGAATCATTATTCATACCTAAAACTAATACGTTCGCAGTGATTTAATGAATTTAGCGTTAAATCAGTAAAAAAATACAAATTTCCAGAGTGACAACTGAGTCTTGCAGCGGCCATTTTTGCCCAAATATAGTAACACCTCACTCCTGACATCTTCCTGCAGTGACGTCACGGTGCGGTAAGCCTAGCGCCATTCTCTAGTGGTGTCATGATTTTATCAAGTGCTCTGACCCACATGCAGAAAGCCAACATAGAGAGACCAGTGAAAAGTTTAACAGGTTTATTTAGAATAATGAGAAGAGTCCAGTGCTGCTCTGAACACTGTCAAACCGTACCTGGAAAGTGAGGGAAGACACTGCGGTTAGTTCAGGCTCAGTAGGATATAAGTCTTTGACTTGAAGAGGAGGAATAGGTTGCAGACTCATGTTTCCAGAAAAAGGTGTCCTTTATTGAATCCAGTCTGTGTGGGATGTTCCAGTGATTGTCTTGTTGATGGAGGGCGGACAGGGTTTACCCAGATTGTGGTTGTTCCTTGGTGAATGGAGAAGCTGACTGCCACTTCGAATTCCTGCAGTACTTAGACAAGTTATTGTGGAGATGAATCCTCCAGACGATCCTTGGGGGAAAAGGTTGATCCAAACCACAAACTTGAATTCTCAGCTCAGTTTGGTTTTCAGAAGATCCTTCCAGGGGAGTGAAGGTCCCAAACATCCAGTTTACAGGATGACTTCCTGCCGAGAGGCAAAGACAAAAACAGCAAGATTAAAACTCAGGTAAACAAAAACTTAGTTTAACTCAGCAAAACTCAGCTTGGCTAGAGTACCCAAAACTGGCAAATAAAAATTCAGGTTAGACTCTGCTAAACTAAGCGTGGCTAGAGTACCCCAAACTGGCAAACACTCTGGCGTCGAGGTAGTGGCAGTCAGCAGCATAAGAGCACTCCACAGGTAATGAGGCAACAAGCTGCAGGTGTGCAGGGAAGCCCAATGAGCAGTGTTGTGCCTGAACGCGTTCATTGAACGAAAGTTCATGAACTCGTTC